AGTATGTGCTTTCTTCCGCTACGTTTATTTGGCAATGTGATGTGGTTCATGATGAGAAGAGGATGAACATGATCAAAAGGGATGGGAATGATGAAACTGTATGAAACTCAATGAAACATGATGAAAATAATGCAAAATCATGAAAATAATGCAAGATTCTGAGAAATGATGAAACATGACGGAAAATGATGAAGAACATGGAAATCCTGAAAACCATATAACAAAGCGTGAAAAGTGAGAAATCATCACAATGATAACATGAAAATGATAACGAACTTCTGAAAACAATTAAAAATAATGACAAATCATGCAAAACTGTGAAAAACCAGGAAAATGTAACGAAAAATTGTGAACATGAAGGAACAACCCTGCAAAATCATGAAAACATTGGACAATTGAAAGAAACTCATGGAATGTCATGACTGATCATGAATATGATCAAAAAGGATTAGATGTATGAAAATTGATGAAAACTGATGAAACTTGATGAGCAATCCTTCCTTCCTTGCTTCATTCCTTCCTGCTGTCCTTAGCAGTAGGTCTTGTACAAAATTGAGGATAGGAATACGCATTGACGCTCTGGCTTCTTTCCTTCCAGCCTGCTCCTTCCTCTTTTCCCTCCTTCCTTCCTTCCTTCCCGCCTTTCTTCCTTCCTTCTTTCGTTCCTGCCAGGGTACAGGGTCAAAGCCCAAGCATCAAAAAAAGCATTCCGGATTGGTGTACACCCCAGGAAACAGGCAATAAGTTGCTTTTGTTGCTTAAAAATGTTGTTTAATGCTGATAAAGTTTGTTTGATGCTTATAAAGTTGTCGTTGACCCCTATCCCCCGCACAAGGGCAAAGCAAAGGTGCACTTTGTCACACCATGAGCGAATGAAATCAGCTCAAGGGCGCTGAATCCAAAAATGCTGTCAACCAAAAGGATGTGCTCACAAAGAAGTCGAAGCCATGTAACAGGTTCGATATCCTTATATTGCCTGAGGGTCCCGACAGCCGAACTCTACGATGCGATCCTCTGGCCGCAACGTTGCCTGAGAAGAGTTGGAGTATCCAATTGTCAAAGTCTCTGCTCCGGGCCGCGACCTCCAACAGCTCTTTCTTTTGCTCACCCTGGATCTTCAGCCAACTCCGCTCCTGCAGCTAGAGATGTGCTCTCAGACTCGGCAGTCATTTTTTGGACCTCCGCGAACTCTTCGATGACCTGCTGAGAAATGCGGCTTTCGTATAAGTTCTAGTTCACTAGTTCAACTCCATCCTCCCCACCTTGATCACAGATTGCACATCTCCAGGCGTCGCACGCTGCCTGCACCACAAGGCCGGAGTCTGCTTAGCGCTGAGAGCTTAGGCCAGTGTCCTGATCCACTTGAAGAGCTGAACCTCCTTCTGTGCCATTGGCCTGGTGAGATCTGGAGACTTTTTAGCACTCCTCTCAAGTACGCCAATGACGGCCTCAGGGCCCCGAGTGGCACGGGGCTTCGTACCTCTTGGGCTTGGAGGCAGTGGCAGAAATCAGTTCCTTCTCCTCAGCCCTCCATGCCCTCCCCAGCCTCGGGGAAGTCCACGGCAAGCGTCGCATCATTTAGGATCTGGCAAGCAGTGATCAGCATTGGCGTGTTGGAACACCAACTGTTGCCAGGGTTCAAGCCTCGGCCACGTTATAGTCCATCTTCCGTTGCCGCCTTACAAAGTTTGCAGGGACCGCAGGATGTCTTTCTTCATGCGTTCGTGAGCTTCCGACATTTCGTCTTGGATCTCACTGGCCGCAGCCTGGTTCCTGTTGGTCAGACGCTGCATGTGCCTAGAGCACGGAGCTGCTGGCGGTGCTGCCGGCTGTCGGTGCTGGCCTGCCATCGCGGCAGGCTTGAGCTGCGCAAGCCAGGGCAATACTGTCCGGCTGCACCTGCCCACAATGCGACAAGGCTTTGCTTAGTCCCTTTTGAAGCCTCAAGGCCTCCTCGGAGCGCATGCTTTCCAGCAGGGAAAGGCACTGTGGCCAACGCCCGGCCTCCATGCAGGCATACCTGTCGCCCAATTGCAGGGGGATTTCTGCTTCGTGCACAACTTACAGGCAGTGTCGCACAAGGCCACCCCATAGCACATCAGATCTCGGGTGACATCCTTCCTGAGCACATTCAGCTGCGAGAGACCATGTGCGGGACCTGTACCAACTTGCAGAGGTCACTGCGGAGACTCTGAAGTGCCTGCGCATTCCAACATCTCCAGCGTTGCCTTCACACAGGGCAAAAGAGGGGCAGGGGAAGTGCAACAGGCTCAAAGCACAAAGCTGAGCCTCCCAAGCTCCGGCGCCTGCCTGAGAGCAAAAGGTGCACTGGGTCTTCCTTCGCCTTGCTACGTTGCTATTGTCAAGGTGCCCGGGTGTCCGGCACATGCCATCATGCCAATGTGCCAGGACTCGCTGTTGGCCACGCCCAATCTGGACAGCACGTGCTCAACTCGCTCCCAAAGAAACTGCGGATAGCCAAGAATAGGGGCCCTGGCTCTCGAGCTTTTGCCAAGAAGACAAGTGCCTGGCGAACGTTGAAAAGCAAGGGCAACCCATAGCCGCCAATAGAAATTTGTTTGACATGCCAAGAAGTACGCATCTCCTCAGGCCTTCTCCCACTCGCCATTGCGACTGCAGGCGAGGGATGCCGCCTGAGACAGGGATGTGGCAGCTTTCGGTACATACAGAAAAAACGTGGAGCAGACTCTTGAAGGAGGTTGGGCTTTTCAGAGCTCCTGACTTCAGGCTCCTCACTTCATGCTGACTACATGACCATCACATACAGCCAGTCTTGAAGTCATACTTTGTGTCTTAAACTGGTGTCACACCAGGCCTGATAGGTCTCGAAGTCAGGCTCGACTTTAGCGGCTGGCATGCCATCTAGCCTTGAATTCTGAAACTCATGCTTCCCCTTTGCTTGGTATGATGTCTCTTAACATGCTATAAGAGAAAAGGGGTTTCTGTACTCTCGGGGCACTGGCAGGCAGAGGGAGCGCTCCCACTGCTGGCCTCGACCGCAGGCCTGAGCAACTTCGCAGTGTTGAGTCTGGAAACGTCCCACACATGATGCTGGGCATTATGAATTCCAGCGAGAACCATGCCGCGATGGCAACATTGTAGGTCACGACATCTTGCTCCACCTTCAGCTTCATCATTGTCACAGGCAAACAAATCAAACACCATCAACTTCGTTAAGCTTTTGTGAGGGTGAGGCACTGGTGCTGATACATGTCACGCGCAGCAAGGTACAGTATGTGATCATCTGCTTCTTCATTGGCATGTTGGCTTCTCAATGGCCAAGATTTCGTTCATGTAACACGGCGCCCAGAAAATCGGTGTATGTGAAGCCACCTGAACTCTGGACTCAACAACCACCCCTCACCAAGCACTTCGCTAAAGTGACCTGGATAAGTGTGGATCGCGATACATGATCACTCAAATGACCTCAAAGCATCCATATCCTTTGAGACATGCAACAGCTTGCTTGGTGGCTACAACCAATCTGCCCAAAGCAAGCTTCACAAACCAGTGCTTGGCACCAACCGGCCGAATGGCACACCATAACATGTTTTGACATGTTCGGCATGCGGCTTGTTCGAAGGATGCCTCTATTCAAGAAAAACATGGTAGGAGCTGCAGCTTACAAATGTTTTAGGAAACACCGCTTCCATCCGCCATCGCACAAGCTGGCTCGTTTGTTGCCTGCCCTTTGCTTACATGACTTCCTCTCCGCTTGAGCACTCTCTTACGTCGGAGCTGCCGCCAGAAACTGCATCCAAGTCCATGCAGCTTCGGGCGAGGGATCACAAAATACTCATAAGAAATATTAAACTTAATAGGCACGAGTACGAGCAATTATTTGGTGAAATGATGACAAAAACACGCTAATACTTATATGAATGCTGGTTTGTTGTACTGAAAATACTAGGAACGATTCAAAAATGAATACCAGTACTCATGCCAGTACTAACTGTAACAAAAAGTTTTCAAACAACAGGAAGAATGGAAACTGTTCGAGAGCAACAAACTTGAGATAAGGATCACAAACTTGAGAAAGAGCTCTACAAACGAGCTAGAGCTGCAAATTCCTTGCGCTGCAGCATCTGGAGTTCTTCACATCACTTGCAGCTGTTCAAGCGCTGAAGGGAGACAAAGGAAGACAAGGCCGCCAAAAGTCCAGCCAAGCGAAAAGGCTGCAAATGCTGAAGGACGATGACCCCTTCAACGTCTGCAGATACTGGAAATCATAACATGATACTGGAACTTCATTCCTCAGACTTCGGAGGCGACGGATACTGCGAATTACAAAGATTGCGGCTCTTCACAGGCTGCAGATGTCGGATGCAAATTCATGGATGAAGATGAGGGTTTGGTTATGGTTTCCCGCGGCATGGTGCTCTGCAAAAATGAACATAGCTTGGAGCGCGGAGCCACGCCCACTTGCAATAGTTGAGTTTTAACAAGACTCAGCAAGTATTACGTTTGCTTTGCCAAGCATTGGTTTGCTTTTGGAATGGCGGCGTCCAGGCTCAAAATTTCAAGATCGGTAATCCTCCTTGAGCTTTGGTAACGCTGTTTCTTGTGCTATGTGTATGCTTGTACTTTTGCATTCTTTCTTCATCATCTTCCAGCTACGCATCCAGGAACTATCTGTCTTTTTCTTTCATGCGGGCGACGGGACCACCCGGTACCACCCTGTAGGATGGCCCCTGGGCATGAGATACATCACTAAAGCCTGTTGCCTTCTTTCTTTCAAGGTAAAGCTGTCTCTCTCTTTTCTGTGGACTATGCAAGGGCCTAAACAGCCGAAACCCTTGCAGGGGCTGACCCCCAAGCCCGGCGCAGGTCTCAGTGTTTGTCAGTTGTGAGGCTGCAGACCCTTTTCCACGTTTTGATTTTGCGGGATGTTCCTGACCCGTTTTAAGCCTCCCTTAGCCTGATAATCAAGCCATAATACTCCTTTGGAGCAAATTCCTGCACCAGGTCTCCCAATATCACAATTAACGACATAGTTGTTTGCTCTCGCTTTGCTTTTGACAAGGTAAACCTGCCGGCCTGATGGCCCCCCGTCACGTTTGGTTCAGGTCTGGTACGGAGACGGCAAACAGCACCCAACAAAGTATTGAACACGTACTGGGACAACAACGATTGCCCGGCTCCAGCATCGTTGCGGCTAGATTCAGGTTTGGTACATTACAGAGTATGCCAGTGGTGCTTTTCGGGGAGGGGAGCAGGAGGACCGGCACCCATGCAACAACAAATGAACAAACAAGTAAACAAACAAGTGAACAGACATTTGAACAATCCAATTCGCAAATTACTGGCTGCTGGAGCAGGGATGTCTCAGCCGAGCAATTACAACTATACTACAACTATACTCCAGGCTCACTGCATTGGTGAGTTCTCACCGTGGAAATCGCCCTCCATCCGCGGGCTTGACGTGACGCTCATAGTGGGAAGTTCCAGTTGATCAAGTCTGTACCACAAACACAACACGGCTCCAAGTCAAGCCCTCCATGAGGTGTCTTAACAAAACTGACAAACAAAAACATGCTGGAATTTGATGGCCTGCCAAGGCTGTTGCTTGCAAACGGCACACTTCTGTTGGGTCGTTGAATTTGCGAGAGCCTTAGTCGCTGCCTCGTCCCAAGGGCCTTTCTTGAATTAAGGCTGAGCGGGCTTGGGGGTGCGGCCCTTTGTGGGGTGCAGGGTTTAGGATACCCTCCGATTTTCACCGGTGCATCAGGCCATCTTTCGCTCAGGCCATGGCCTGCCCTATCCCCATTCACATTCGAAAGAGCCGCCAACTTTGTATCCACGGTTCCACATTTTCCTTTTACGCTACTCTGGCTTCTGGTTCCGAGGAGTTCCCCAGGTGGGCCGGCTACGCAAACCTTTTCAGCCACCCCTCCTGCCCCCGCTGCGTTAACAGGGGTTTGGGGTGTTAGGCCTTCAGGGCACTGAGCCTGTGAACTGTGCTGGCGCTGCTCAGTCCACTCATGTCAGTGTCCACCGCCAGCGGTGGAGGGATACGGCCCCCACGGCGAACCGCAACCGAGCAACCCCTGTGGAGGCAGGCAGACCACTTGAGCCAAAATGCCTATGGCATAGCTGTCTCTTCTTCTTTTTCTTCTCACTGCTATGCCCCTCTCCGGAGAGGGAGGCCGGGGCACGGCTCCAAGCAGGCGCCATCCGTGGTCCGAGTCGGGACTGCTGAGGGCCCGGCTACTGAACATACCAGGACAGAATCAGTCAGCTAAGAACGCAAGATTGTTACCTACCTCCCCCACCTCTCCTGTCCCAGTATGGCCTTCACCACTTCTCCAAGCAGCCGTGAAGCTTGCCAGCTTCTCCCATGAGCACCCATCACCCCGAAATGCCACAATGGTAAGCGCATAAGACAGACCACTGGCGCTCCAGAGAACTTGGCTGGAGTGAAAATGGACTAGTCGGTGCGCTAACCTCTCTTCATCAGCTGACCCCCGACCTTGCCCGGCTTGTCGCCAGCAGAGCGATGCAAGGGCCGTCATAGCTGTCTCTTCTTCTTCTCACTGCTATAACCCCCCGGCACAGGGAGGGCTGGAGCAACGCTCCAAGCAGGCACGCTTCAGGTCACGCTCACCGCTTCAGGCCCCGGCTAACGACTGCTCATAGCTCTCTCTCTCTTTCTCTTTCTTTCTTTCCTTCGGGCTATGGAAAAGACCTGATGGTCCCCCCCCCAGGCTTCTGTGCCCAGCCCTTGTTGGACTGTTTGGTCGGTTCCTATGCTTCATGTCATTCATTTGCTTCTGTCTTTCTTCCATGCTTCCCGCCTCCGTGTGCTGAGTTCTATATTGTGGTTCTTGCTTGTTTCATTCTTTCTCTTTGTCTGTGAGGGACCAATGCTACATTACAAGCATCACCAAACATTCCAGATTGGCATGCTCCTCCTTATAAGAAGGACATAAATTTTCTGATGCTTATAAGGTCTGTTGTGGGTACGAGGTTGTTTGAACCCCTGGCCGTATCCCACTTCCAGTTGTGTACTGACGTAAGTGACATTGGCGACAATAGCCCATAGCAAACAGACTGGGAATGTTGAAGTCATGTGTTGAAGATTGGTGTCTCATGCTGTCTGAGAGCCACATCTTCGAAGCCTGAGAGCCTCACGCCTCGGCTCGGCATCTCGCCAAGAAGGCTGAGTGCCTTGGCAACCACTGACCGCGACCGTCAGCCTGGAAGAGACCAATTGAGAAGCTAGGGCTTGGCACCCACTCCCAGTGATGGCCGTGCTCACCTCGGCTGTGCTTTGCAGGCTCAAAAGGCAAAAGTCCGACTACACTCCGAGGTTGAAGCAATTGCGCAAGGCAGTCGTGTAGCTCAACGTCTCCTGTTTCGTCAGTGTCCAAAAGCA